CTTAGCAACAACCTCGAAGGGGGACCTTGGAATGATATGTACGTACCTAAACTGTCGCATGTATCGCTCAGGCAGATACTTGCACATGATACTACTCCCACACGTAAACCATCCGGGGTATAATAAAATAGGGTTGAATAGAGTTTTGTCCTAGTGAGAAGTTTATGGCATCCAGTCAATGTCATCATGCTGAGTCTGGTCAATATACACACGAAATGATACCACAACATCATACTTTCTGCATGGGCTATACATGCATGCATGTGGGTAATCCTTAGCATATGATATCACAGGATCTAACATGTGTATGTGGTGAAAGTGGGAAAGGATTCATCCCTTAAAATGAATAAGAAAGAAAGCATTAGTAACAAGTGTAAAAAAAAGTTATTTTTAAATTAATAGTGGTTATGGAAATTACCTTCAGTAGTGTGCAGGAGCCTTTCATTTGATTTGTCTCCCAAACAGAACCTTTGGCCAGCTTGGAGTACAAGTATATCGAGAATATAGCCCCCTAGTTTTACTTGTGAATGACCTCAAAGTCGATGAAATATTTAAGGTATGCCACATCTAAGTAGGTTGTACTTTTGTCCATAAACATGGATATTCCAACCAAGAATAGGAAGTAACACCTCAATGCACACTCCATGTGGTAGCCAACCTGTATATCATCACCTTCGCGATCCTCGGACAACTCCAAGTTGTTTTTTTGCAGCATCTCCAACCAAGAAAACTTGGCATGTGCACCCCTGGTCTTCTCACACTGCATCAGGGCTTCCGTTGGGTCAGTACCCAAATATATCACCATCATATCCACTACCTCATTGCGTTTATTCCTAGAATGATCAAGTAACTTCCCTCTGATGGGAAGTGTAGGAGGAAAGTGACATTATCTAATGTAATTGTCATCTCGCCAATAGGAAAGTGGAAATATGACGTTTCTTTATGCCATCTTCAGAAAATGTCGCCTGCATGACGTGGTTGATGATGTTGTACCTTAAAGAACACAAACTGGCTAGACAGGAGTATCAGAGCATACTGAGGAACCACTCTTGCTTTAGTTGAGAAAGCTTGTGAATATTTATGGAATGGTTTACATGTTTCAAACACTCACGTTCTTGTTAAAAAGAAAATATAACAATCCCATTCGTATTGAATTTTGTTAAAATATAAAAAATAAGAATAATTAAGAAATATACCTCTCCGCCCCAGACATGTGGAATAACATGGTCTCCAAAATATATCAATAATGATGTGTCAGTGGGCCCTTATGGAAAAGGGTCTACAAGTAGAGGGAGACCATTGCATGCAGCTGGAACTAGGGGTGGCAAAACAGGCTCAGCCTGTTAGGCAATGCCCGTTTTACCCGCACTTTAGTGCAGGGCGGGCCAAGAATTTAGGCCCCCACCCTCTAATATGACCGTCCCGCCCCGTTTTCTTTGCGAGCTTAAGCGGGCATGATTATTAGCATAAAATTTTGCATTTTTAGGCCTAAAAGGTGCAGTGCCCGCAGACTTTCCCCGCCCCGCACTATTTTTTTTTGGTAGGGCAGGCCTAGGTTTTAGGCCCTCATCCTTAACTATACCCGCCCTGCCACGTTTTTTTGTGGGCTTTTGCAGGGAGGGCCTAAATGGGGCGGGCATGCTCGTTTGCCACCCCTAGATAGAGCCTCATGGTGTACACGAGCTTGGGATGACGACCCATGTGATAGTTGGCTCCTAGTACCCGACGCCTCCCTGTTGTGAGGCCTAGGGACGGCTCCCCCCGTACCTCTGGCCTACTGATGTTGAAGATCCCTCTTGCAGTGAGTGGACGTCGTTAGGGTTTTACGGCCGAGTCTCATCCTGTTGTTGTTTGCAGTCATTATCCTTAAAAAAAGACATACGTGCATCAGGAAGGAAAAATTTTGGAGATGCATCTCCAAACACCAGAAATGACTCATTTCAGAGATGTATCTCCGAAAAAGCTTCATTTTTTATTTCAATGACAAAAACATCATCGTCATTTGCCCTAATCATCCAAAAATCATCCAAATGCTACTACGCATTGCCTATTTTGAATGCTAATACTACCTAATGCATTAAAAGTTACCTTTTTTCTAATACATAAATCAAAATTCAAAATAAGCTAAAAGAGAAGCTTACTCAAAAAAGTGTTGATGAGGATGCAAAATGATGAATAGGTAAAGTGAGATGAAATTGGTAAGATAAAAGTAGATATTCAGATACTAGAACAATGTTGCTCACGAGCTTCAATGGGGAAAAAATTTCTGAAAACGAAGAATCAAAAGAGGGTGAAAATGAAGAATGAGAAGAGGGTGAGTATGGCATGAGGTTTAAACACGTTTACTTAGTTCGAAGATGCATATCTAAATGAATTTTTTGAATTAAAAAAAAAAGAAGTTAATTCGGAGATGTATCTGCGAACATCCCTAAAACACCTTCGTAAATACATCTTTGGGTTTAATTTAGATAATATGAAGAAATGGTGCGTTCGCAGATGTATCTTCAAAAATATGAGGCATTTTTTACATTTTGCCCAGGGCATGAGAGAAGGTAACATGGTGCAAAAATAATTCTCAAAGGCTAGGTTATGGGTCATAAAAAATGTCTTTGAGGCCTATCAGGCCGACCTATTTAAATAAACATGAATAATTTTATTATTATTATATTGTATTTTGTACTTGAAATTAAAATACGAAAAAATAAAACTTAGTTATCTTGAAGAACTTATGGAAATAAGTTGGAAAAACTAGGGATGACAAAACGGGTCGCCCGCCCCACTCCACCTTAAGACCGCCAAAAAAAGAGTGGGACGGGCAAACCCGTCAAGTGGAAATGGGCATAAAAATCTTGTCCGCCCCGCCAATGTGGCGGGTTTGCAAGCGGCGAGCTTGCTCGCCTATTTTTTTATTTTTCATTTTTTAATAGATTAATAGGCTTTTTTTAATATCAATTAGATTTTTTCACTTGTTTTTTAGAATAATTTTTTATAAAGCATCTTTTTAATAAATTTTACTTCAAAAATTTGCATATAGTCACAAATAAATGTATAAAATAAAACCATCAAGAATTGGAATTAATAGAATTAACTAAAAAATGACGGGCTTAAGGCGGGACAAAACGAATAGGCGGGGCGAGCTTTGACGAGCGACAGATTTTGGCGGGACAAGCTTTGGTGGGCGGAGAGTATAAAATTCCAACCCAACTCGTATTTTTTCCGGGTCACAAACTAACCCGGCAGGTCACAGTCTGTTTTGCCACCTCTAAAAAAAACTTTATGAATAGTGTGATTAGTTGTTGTGAGAAGTTGCTTTCATAAATTCTTTTAAAAGAATAGTATATAACAAAAGTTATGCTAATAGATAAACTCGAATGAGTCAATAAAAATAAATATTTAGTCTTATTGATCTTTAAATTTATGAACCTATTTAACATTAGTTGAATTGATTATTTACAAATATTCAAATGAAATAGACTTTTAAATAAGCTACTATGCTAATCAAGTCTCCGAAAAGATTAGACTCCGACTTAAAAATAAGTCTATGATAAACTACAAACCAGACTTAAGCTTCAAAAATTTTAGTACGTCAGACTCAAAGTTGAGAAAGTTTAACTAAGTTTAACCTATTTTCACCCTAAACATTAATTTTAAATTAGTTATAAATACGTTATATTAGATGAGAGGTAGTTGTTTGTTGCAAGTTAATTCCAAATTAATCTCATTATATAATAGCCAATTTTACTTTTAATCTATATAAATTTTATTTATAATTTTAATAAATTACACTTTTATTTTAATCAATACAAATTTTTTTTCTTCATATTTTCCCTCTTCTATAATTTTAATAATTTATAATACTTGTGGTAATGTTATCGAGTTATATTGTTTTTAATAAAAGATTGTTGATATATTATGTTACATTTATTTACTTCACGCAAGAATTAAAATCAATAAATTAAAAAAAAAACTAAATATCAAAATCAAGGGATAAAATTTCATTTAAAAAAAATATAAGATTAAAATATTTTTTAAAAAAAATTACACTCACCTCCATTGGGATTTATTAAAACAACATTTACATAAATATAACACTTAGTTTTATAAATAACTAATCATATTTTTTTTATTAATTAGAAAACAAAAATATAATATTCTATCTCATTCGTAATCACAACTCATGATATTAATTTTAAAAAAAAAAATTTAAATAAATAAAATAATTTCTTTATCCTTATTGATTGTTTGTAATAATAAGGATTTATGTTTGTATACATGTGAGTTTTTCTCTTAAATTATGCATTAACCTCCCTTAAATTTTATAAAAACAATATTGACACTTCCTCTAATTTTTAGTAATTACAAAAAATTATTGGTATAAATGATATTGATGTGTTTGTCTATATTCTGTTGGTATAATTAAACTTGGAGAAAATTAATATTATACTTTAAAATTAAAGAGGATGTCGATTTTAGCAAACTTGGAAGGAGTTCAATGTAATTATCCTTATCTTTAAAAATAATGTTTATATTTGGTAGGTAAGTATTAGTACTAAATTGTATTTTACTTATAGTTATATTCAATTTGATTTTTTTTTTATTTTTAATCAAATAAATGAATACTATAAATGAAAATATATATATATATTTAAAATAAATCAATATATTTAAAAATTTATTGAAATTGTTATATTAAACAACGCAAAAAAATTGCAAAAGAACCTTATAGATAAAGACAGAGAAAATAACAAAGATGCAATGATTTTTATATTCCTCAAATAAGTTAATATCGGAACCGTGTCTCACGAGGGCAATAATTTTTCATACATAATTAGTTTTATTTTGCATGATGAATAATCTCTTTGTTTTTCAAAATTTAACTTTTAATAATAATAAAAAAACAAAAAAAACTAACACTTTGAAACTGCTACTATATCTTCAACTCTTTCATTCTCTTCCTCCACATTCATATCTTCAACTCTTCCAACCAAATCCAACTCATCATGGGTTCAATCCTTAATGACAAGAACGTTTTTGAAAACAAACCTCTTCATATTGTTATGCTTCCATGGTTAGCAATGGGACACATATATCCTTACTTCGAAGTTGCCAAAATTCTTGCTTCAAAGGGTCACACTGTCACCTTCATCAACTCTCCCAAAAACATTGATCAAATCCCAAAACCTCCCAAAACCATTCAACCATTCATCAACTTAGTAAAACTACCTTTACCACATGTAGAACACCTTCCAGAAGGTGCAGAAAACACCATGGACATTCAACCAAACATGAACCGTTACCTTAAACTAGCTTACGAAGGACTAGAAAACGATGTCACCGAGATTCTCAAAACCTCCAAACCTGATTGGGTTTTCTACGATTTCGCTTCTGGTTGGTTAGCACCAATAGCGAAATCGCTAAACATTGCTTCTGCTCATTACAACATTACACCAGCTTGGAACAAGTGTTTCTTTGATCCACCTAAGGATCAAGTCAAAAAAGATTTCAAACTCGAAGATATGTGCGGTCCACCGAAATGGGTTCCTTTTCAAACAACCATTCATCTTAAGCCTTATGAGATCATTCGAGCTTTCACTGCTTTAAGAGATGAATCAGGTGGAATGGCTGGTTTTGATCTTAATAAAGCTTATTCGAGTTGCGATCTTTTTCTTCTTAGAACTTCTAGAGAGCTTGAAGGTGAATGGTTGGATTATATCTCTGATCAGTACAAGGTTCCTGTTGTTCCTGTTGGATTGCTTCCGCCGTCTATGCAGATAAGAGACAATGAAGAGGAAGAGAATAATCCTGATTGGGTGGAAATCAAAGAATGGTTGGATTCAAGAGATTTATCTTCTGTTGTTTACATTGGATTTGGGAGTGAGTTGAAGTTGAGTCAGAAAGATTTAACTGAATTAGCTCATGGAATAGAGCTTTCGGGTTTACCTTTCTTTTGGGCTTTGAAGAATCTGAAAGAAGGTACACTTGAATTACCTGAAGGGTTTGAGGATAGAACGAAGGAACGAGGAATCGTTTGGAAAACATGGGCGCCTCAGCTTAAGATTTTAGCTCATGGAGCTATTGGTGGATGTATGAGTCATTGTGGTTCTGGTTCGGTTATTGAGAAGATTCATTATGGACATGTTCTTGTGACACTGCCTTATTTGCTTGATCAGTGTTTGTTTTCGAGGGCATTGGTGGAAAAGGAAGTGGCTGTTGAGGTACCAAGGAGTGAGGAAGATGGTTCCTTTACTAGGGATTCTGTGGCTCATACGTTGAGGTTAGCTATAGTGGATGAGGAAGGAAGTAGTTTGAGGAACAATGCTAACGAGATGGGGAAGATTTTCAGTTCTAAAGATCTTCATGATCAATATATTGATGATCTCATTGCTGCTCTTTATAAGTATGGAGCTCCTTCTGATTCCAAAAATAAAGGAGACTAGTTTCATTTCATATGTTTCCCTTTTCTTTATGTGGTTTTTGTTTCTACAATAAGGATTTATCAGTTTCCTCTTGTTCAATTTTGTAACAAAAAATGTGATTTGGCCATCTCTATATATGTGATATAGCACTTTGTTTACTGAAATTGCATCTCTATCAAGATAGTCAGAATCTCAATCTAAATTTTTAAATCTTAGGATATTGCGATCTCATGCACCCTCGACGATTTAGATCTTGTGTAAACTTGTGTATTGTAGCAAAATTGAGCAAGATCACCGCCAAATCGTAATCCATATTGTAAAAAGAGAGTGAAATCGTTGATTTTGTACTATCATGTCCATATTCGGCAACAATCTAATGTTTTTCAATCACCACCATCACAAGCTAAGAGAAACGAGTAAGAAGGATGATAAGATGCAGAGGTGAACTGTTACGGACAGCGGTGACAACTTGCCTTGTGAAATGATGAAGCATGAGAGTTTTCCTTTTGAAATGACGAAGCTTTAGATATATGGTTTAGAGAATACACATCTCGGCTTTAGTAGAATTTTACAATTTTTTTACGAACTTATGTGTTACAAACTTATTAGCTCTCTTGATCTTTTAAAATTAGTTAGATAAGATCTTCTAATCTTAATTACGATCTTATATTTTACTATCTTGTCACCCCCTCCTGATCCTCAATCTTGACAACCTTGATCTCTACATTATTTATGGTTGCATCATGAATTTTCACTTCATATATGGAGGAAAATTTTAGTATGAAAAGATTAGAACTTGTGAGAGGTGTGACAAGACAGAGATAAAGAGATGGAAAGAAACTATAGATTTTGATTTCAAATTTGAAATTTGAATATAATGTTACAAAAATCAGAGAGTTTTGTTACATTTACCTCAAACTTATTTTTGGTTTCCTATAAAAATTCTTTTCAAGGAAACCAAGTAAGAAAAATGGAAATAAAAACTAATTCAATGTAATGGACTTGTTTCAAATCCTCACACTTAATGGATACTTCAAGTTTCCAACATGAAGCATGTGTTCTCCCAATGGAACTTTTCTGTTTCCAACTTCATCAACCACACTCAAATCCTTGCAAACATCTACCTTGAACTTTACAATTCCTTCTGATTTTCCCGGCAATTCAACTTTCTGGAAACCCAACAAGTGTTTCTGAGGTGCATTGTGCACATCAGGAGGTGTAAAGAATAGCAAAACTGTATGACTACTACTCATTTTTGCCGTGTTTTTGACACTAAGGTGAATATCAAATGCTAAGTTTTGACAATGTTCATCGGCAACGTCAAGTGACTTGCATTGTAAGGAACGACATTCGTGATCCTCGGCTAGAGGGACTGACACTAACTGTGGCACTTTAACTATTTTGTGTTCGACCGTGCCGAAGCTCATTCCATCTCCGAATGAGAAAACGGTTTCTCCTTTATAAAATCTGTAAGTTCTTCCAGGGTAACCAATTGCAGGATCAGCCCTCATGTTCATGTTCGTCATCGGTACCTTTTCTACATATGATTGTGGATACCATGTCATTGGTAGCCTTCCACCTACATCACAAAATCATCAATCACCGTCAATGTTTATATCATTTTGATTTTAAATAATGTTCCCGACCACAATTTAGGTCGCGACATCAAGGTTTTTTATGTCTACACGGTCACAATTAAGATTGTATCAGAAGCATTTGCCTATTATTTCTCAATAATATTAAGGAAGATTTCGAGAGAAGTTATTAAGAAAGATTTCGAGATTAACGATTTGTGAATTAAAAGTATGGTCCTAGATAGAACATTATAGCGAAACTTAATCCATGTAGCCGGCCCCACTTAATAGGTGGGATAAGACTTGGTTGTTATTGTTGTTGTACAGCTTGATTGCAAGGACGATTAAAAACATTGTGGGAAACTGTGAATGACTTACTTGGATTGTATGAACCGAAAATCACATCGGCTATGGCAGCTCCACCGGCTTCGCCAGGGTAACCAACCCACAAAATGCTTGTGATTTTATCATTAGATTTGGCAAAGGAAACGTCCATGCCTCCTCCAGACATTATGACAAGAATCACGGGCCCCTTGGATGCACTCGCAACTTCACTAACCAGTTGTTGTTGTTGACCTGGAAGTAGAATGTTAATTCTGTCGAGACTTTCCGCTTCTATAGCTAGATTTGCACCTACAACAATAACGGTTGCATCTGCAGAGGCTGCAATCTTCGTGGCATCATCTATCTGGGCATTCGCGCATTGCACATCCGGACATCCAGGAGCGTAAGTCGTAGAAACTAAGGCTGTTAGGCCTTGCAAAGGTGATGTATATTTACAAGGGATGCCTGCAAAAATTTCGGTAACTTGTCAAATACTATGAAGCACTTAAACATACCGAGACACCAGACACGATACTAACACCAACACGTAAACATTTGTAATAATTTAAGAAAATGAAAGTGATTGAATGTAATGTCCTCATCAAATTTAGAGATTCTCATACCTTCATAGTTTCCAATCATGACCCTTGTAGCATTAGCATTAGGTCCTATAACTGCCAAAGAATTAATGGATTTGGAACTTAGAGGCAATGATCCTGGACTATTTTTAAGCAACACAATCCCTTGTCTTGCAGCTTCCCGAGCTAGCTCCCGGTTCTCTGGAGTGCACACATCTTTGGGACCAAGATTTCCATAAGGGTGTTTACTTGGATCACCATCAAAGAAACCAAGACGCATCAATGTCGCAAAATTGTTCGAGACAGCATTGTTTATGGACGCTTCATCCACAAGCCCTTGCTTTACTGCCCCTCCGGTATATTGGCTAAGATAATTTCCACAGTCCAAATCTAAACCTGTGAAAACACAAAAAACGTGATATTTGATCACAAAGTTCGGCCAATTGTGCCTACGTCTCTGAGTGACTACAACACATTTCTCGTGTTCGTTACCTGAGAGTATGGTTTTGGCTGCAGCTTCTTCAGGAGTTTTGGTATAATGCTGATCTTTGAAAAGCACTTCCACTGAGTCACAATCAGAAACTATATATCTACATTCACCAAATAATAATATTCGAATTATTTAATGTAAAGACAACAACATGAATAGTGAAATCAAACTAAATGAGATTTAGGAGAATTCTAAATTCTAATTATACCCATTTAACTTCCATTTGCCTCTGATAACTCCCTTAAGAAGATCAGGGTCTGCACAAGTTGGTTTTCCATTAACTTGATTGTAAGAACACATGACACTAGCTACATTCCCATCGATCACGCAACTCTTAAATGGAGGTTGAAATGTGTCATCCAAATCTTGTTGACTCACCTAACAAAATCAACAAAGAAACACTATGACTCACAGATACCGAACACGACACAGGGAATAATGTAAGAAAACATGTGTTGGTATAGAACGAGTGTCGGACACTGACACATATCAGTGTCAGAGACACGTTTTCAACCCGAAGTGTCGGTGTGCCACATAGTACAATCACAATAACTTACCACAGCATTGAAGGTATAACGCTGCACACCTTTCCAATTATCAACATCGTAAGCTGTATAATGTTTGCAACAAGCAGCAACCTTAAGCTTGTCGGTGTCTTCATCATCGGTTTGTTGAAGACCTTTCACATATCCTGCTGCATATTTGCCACTTAACAAAGGATCTTCCCCTGGTGTTTCTTGTCCCCTTCCCCATCTTGGATCTCTGAATATGTTTATGTTTGGTGACCAATATGTCAAACCAGCCAACCCTACATTGTACATTGCTCTTGCTTCAGTTGAAACCACCTGAAAAAATTACCATAAATTAGCACTTAACACCACTTTAAACTGTTTTATTTTTGGTAGTTACTAGCACTACTAGATAATTATCACAAAGTATATAGTGCTACTGCAGCAAAATCAATTATATCTGCTTTTAGATTATTTGAACCAATTAATTATCCACTTTTGCTAGGCTGAAAAGAAAAAAATAGTACAAATTTGGCAAGTTGATACTGAAAACTTATTCATATTTGTGTTCATTTATTGTTCTATTGCTCAATTTAACATTTGTACCTAAAAGGCTTTTGCTTTTAAGCCAAAAGCAATAAAGAAAATAAACAATTCAACCATGTAATATAGCTACCATCATCTACTTTCTTTAACCACTAACTAATACCTTCAAAACCTCATTGATAAACCACCTACTATTAATACTCTCAAGTCTATTTTCTTAAATCTGATGTCTGCCTCAACTTTAAATTGATAATGTACTATTTCATAAAGAAACCAACAAAAATGTCATTTCTCATTCAAAACCAAACCAAAATCTGAAAATTTCAAAATAGATCCACCAACTCCAATGAATAAAATTAACAACTTTTTATGTCTTTATTCAATAAAAGGTTGAAAAACATCACTCTTTCCCAGTTTTTGAGAAGCCTACTCCCAAGAAAGAAATAAATAAAGAAACACATAAGACTTCTACATAGTACTATTTCATCTATCCAAGAACAATAGATCTAACTGCCAAAAAAAAAAAAAAACATAGTCTTAAAATGAATCAACACGACAAAATAGTATCAGAAGGTGCCGATAACAATACCGGTGTTCACTATTTTTAATGACAAATTGCGGTTAATTCTGGTTAATTCACATTGCAACGACCGCAATCAGAATCGCAACACCTATATAGACCAAAATCGCAAAAACCTTTACACAACCGCAATCAGCATTTAAAACCTTGGATTGTACCATCTTATTAATACTAATTGAATCATTCCCAAATCAACAAAAAGAAAATGAAGATAAAGAAGAAGAAAAAACTCACACTTCCAATGGCTTGAAAGAGGGTAGTATTGAAAGAAGCTGCAGTAAGAATAGGCATAGGAAAACTAGTAGCACCTGGAACCAAACTTGAAAAACGAGTACCAGGACCAATATTAGAAACTCCATGAAGAGCTTCAGACCACCATTCATATTTTGGTATCCCAAGTCTGCTAACTTCAACAGCAGA